CCCCCTTGACCCATGGATCATGTCTTACACCTACACCCCTCTCTGATCCCCCTTGACCCATGGATCATGTCTTACACCTACATCCCTCTCTGATCTCCCCTTGACCCTTGGATCATGTCTTACACCTACGACCCTACAGTATCTGATCATGTCTTATATGTACGCCCCTATTCTTCTTCTTTGAAACATAAATATTTCTTACTTGTTGAATGACACATTTAAGAATTTCATATTTGGATTTGCTCTAGTAAATTCCACTAAAGTTGTTGTTTTACCGGTTCCTAAAATAGAAAACCAAAAAGTGAATCTTGATGTATTGAAAACTTAAACAGCAAGTATAATAATGATAATAATAATAATAATGATGATGATGATGATGATGATGATGATGATAGGGRATTTTKGTACAGCGCATTTAAACAACGTCTCAATGCGCTTTACATTAATGACCAGTGGAAGACTCTACGGGCTGCATATTAAGGCACTAGTAGCAGCTGTGCAGCTTACAATCATGAGTGATTTGTTAGTACATTAGTGTTATGCCTCCAAATTGGGATAGGCTGTTGAACCGGGAGACAATCCMSTAGTCTTACACGAATAATTCAACAGGTTCTTTTATGTCCCCCATTTTCTGCTGCGGGTTAGGAAGGGTTTGGAGACAGGGCCTACGGTTTAAAGTCCTTATCTGAGAAGACTTGAAGGTCTAACCATATTTGCAGATATTATTACACAGGCAACACCTTCTCCTCAGTTATTTTAAGACCCTGAATATTTGTCCGGTYGAGGCTTGCCGATCCAGCAAGAGAAAAAGAAAAGGAGACTCTGTCAGCAGGGAACTTTCTGTCTATTCTCCGTCGGATTTATCATATGGCAATCTTATAACACTTTTAAGTAATAAACATCTCACCAGCAAAAGCCACTATCTTGATCACTTCCTCAGGCATTATATTGTGTTTGATGATGGCTAACTGCTCATGAGTTAGTTCATAGGAGGTGCTGTATAATGATAGATGAGATAAATGTAAGCAAATGTATAGCAGATGATGTGCTTGCGAATCAGTTTTGAACGGTTTTTTTTTGCTGATGTCAGCCCAAGGAAAATCATTTATCCTTTTCCTTTGCGTGGCTCACGGCAGTGGTTTCAGTTTGTGACATTCAAGTTTGTTTGTTTACTTGTTTACTCTTTCTCAGCTTTTTCGTGTATATAAATAATTATTTATTACACCTCTATAGGCTGCTTTCACTCGTGAAATTATCCGGCTGTAATACACAACTAGCAGTGTAGAGACGTGTAAATAATTGTCAAAAAAAAAACCCTCTATCATTGCAAGATCACCACCGTTCTTGCTTGGATACACAAGCACTGTTATCTTTCAAGATGGCACAGCAAAACGTGAAAGGGCCTACTCTTTATAGAGTGTTTTCATGTGACCTCACAGCGGCCATTATATGGGGTACCACTAAACAATACATTTTCTATCCTCCGGGAATCGTACTCTATTTTTATGCAAATACTGTGCAGAAAGTTTCTATTGTTTATGGCTGCCTTCTCACGTGAGTGAAAACACTCTATACTGTAAAAGTAGTGAAAAAGAATAGCAAAAATCTCCATGTAGTTTGTACTGAAAGTTTATATACCTCTTTTTTGAAATGTAATAAAATATTCTTTGTGTGGCGGGGGGTGGGGGGGGAGGGTTTTGTTGACTGTTCTTGGTCTTAGGCAGCTGCACTGAAAGTCGCACACGCAGTTTTGTCTGGTTGCAGCTTGCAGAAATATTTTGCCACGTACATAGAATTGTTTAACAATAGATAGGCCATATATGTATTACTGCTCAATATATTTCAAATCCTACTTAATTGATTAATTAATTAATAAAAACACCAATAATATTTTAATTTGTTATAGACAAAATTCTACATTTTCATATAAAATGTAATCAGACCTTTTATAGCATGGGACTGTGTATCTGTGGGATGGGTTATTCATCTTAAAGGGCTGGGTTGGTTGATTTACCATGTAGGGGACTTAGTGTTCTTTTGTAAATTACCTACCTTAGGCAAATCTTCAAATAAATAAATTGAATGAATTATGTAAAATAATTAATAATTAATAAAAAATAAATAAATACATA